GATAGCCTAAGAATAACTAATCAAGAGGAGGTGGATTTGGTTTTAAAACTTTTTCGAATAATTAATCTAAATTCAAGCAAGTAAAAACTAAATAAATTAGTTCAAATAATAAGCGCAAATATGAAAACGATAAGTAAAAGAGAAGAAATGATGCAAACGATATAATTGTGGAGGTTCGATCCAAAACAATGATTTACTTCATCCGTTACTAACCTTTCCAATACGAGCAAAGCTTTTTTACTATACTGATTGACTTATGGTGCAATCTAACAATTTACAATATTTTCGGTGACTTCCAAACTAGGAGCACTGATCTTTATGCAATATTGAGCTTTAGGGACCTCAATATGAGTCACTATTGAGCTTTATGGGAGCTCAATATGACCTACACGGTGACTTACAAGAATGAGCATCAATCGTTGTACCATTGAACTTTCACGAGATCTCAATACGACCCACAAATTTAGATTAAATGATTTTAAAATGAAAAGTTTCTCTTAATAGATGATACAAATGAATTAAGTATTAAAAGAGAGGCTAACACTTCAACGAATAGCAATAAATGATAGCTCAAATATTAGATGAAAAACTTTGATGTATATAGTAATTAGAAATTTGATTCATTCAATCAAAAATTTCCAATGAGAAGATGAAGAAAAAATAAGTCCAATGTAAATTTAAAAATTTTCTCAAAATATATATCTCTTTTAATGATTGATTATAATAAATTATTACCAAGAAAGGTATGACAAATTTTGATGAATATGATGATTTTACAAATTTGATTCCATCAATCTAAGTTTTTAATATGAAGAAGTTGAAGAAATATATGCAATATAAGTTCAAAGACTTTCTTCAAAATATGTCTCTTTTATGAGTAATAATAGAAATAACTTAAGTACAAAAAGAGAGATGAATTTTTTTTGATGAAAATGATGATTAAAGAGTTTGAATCAATCAAAGTTTTTGATATGAATAAATAAATAAAATGAATGCAAATATAAATTTAAAGAAATCTCTCAAACTTTGATACTCTTGACAAATGTTGTAATGAATGCAATAAGTAGAGGTATTTATAGAGTCAAAAATCTGTGAGCTCGAATGACTCGTCCGGTTGATCGTCTTTTGTCCTAATGACCAATATAATCGTTTGTACAGTAAAAAATCAGAGGTCATAACATTCAAATTTTGGACCGTTGGAAACTTCTAATCGACCATGTGTTTTAGCTGGTCAACCGCTCGACTGTTTTTGCCTTTTTACGTTTTGACTCCATTTGTTCCAATACGAAGGTTTTGGAAAACATGGACTTTTACAAAGTATTTTTAACTCACTTTTCAAGATAAAAGATATTTTTCAAGTTCAAATATCATTTTAACAAGTGATTTTTATTTTTGATCAAATAATTGCATTATAATGATTTTTAATGCACAAAATTATTTTTAATGCATAGAAAGATTTTGAGATTAAGTATTCATTACCAAATATTAAAGTGTTAATACCTTTATACTTTATTTAAGAAATCAATTCCTTGATTTAGCTCCGAAGTTTGGCTCTTAAATTCTTGAATGTGTGACTTCGATTTTGATCTCTTTCATGAGTCCGATTTGTGATGATAACTTTTGATCTTTTGACGACCATCGAACAATTTTTTATGCTTTAAAAAACTATAATAACTTGAATTCAACTTGTTAGTAAAAGAAAAAAAAAACTAACTTTTTTGTTATAATCAAAACATTAAGATTTTAATCAATCATAGGTCAAGATTAATAATTTTTTTTAATAATGATATTATAAAATAAAATTTAATCTACATATTCTTCACACCCCACCTCCATTCATCCTAGCCCAATTTTATTTCCCGACCATAATCATCTTTCATTATCTTTTTCTCTCTATATTATCTTCCTTCTCTTTATCACAAACCACCATCGGTGATATAGTCGCCATCGGCGATGAAGTTTGAAGCAACCAACGTTGCGCAACTGTGTGACCAAAGCGATGTTATTGTGTAGAGGCACCTCTGTCTTCAGCATTGTTTAGCCTCCTTCAGTAGCAGCGTAAACGAAACTTTAGTCTCTTTCACTGCTATGTAGAGTGTCTGTGCAATGGCGTCTTCGTCGCTGGTATGTGATCTCTTTAGTTGTGTAGATTAGAACAATGGACTGTGTGTGGTGTGTGGATCTGTTGATTTACATGTGGTGGTGGTGGTGGTGGTGGTGGTTAGAGTTTATTGAAAGTGTTAGTGGTAGTTGTGGCGGTGGCAGTGGTGGTGAATGTAGTGCGTTAGGTGGGGGAGATAAAATGATAATTTGTAATCGAGATATAAGTTGTAACCAATTAATTCAATAAATTGTGACCTAGAAAATAGTCGTGACCAGTTAATTTGATAATTTGTGGCAGAGAATTAAGTTGTGACTCATTCATTTAATAATTTGTGATCGAGAAAATAGTTGTGACCAATTAATTTGATAATCGGTGATCGATAAGAAGTTGTAACCAATTAATTTGAGAAGTTGTGACTGTTGATAAATAAGTTGTAACCTATAAAATGCTTGATTTGTGACAAAAAATGTTGCGATCAATTAATTTAATAATTTGTGATTGATAGAAAATCTTCAACCTAATAGTTTTTTTTATTCGTGATTGTTGGTGACCGATTTTGTGTTGATTGTGATCGATTGTGATTTGATCACATATCGTCACAGTTAAGATTGACCTGATTACAAACAGACACACGAAAAATAAATTTGGTCACAGTTAGT